CCAGCCCCGGCTGGGCCGGGCGCCGCTCCCCGCCCCTGGCGGGAAATCCCCGCCTGTTAGGCTTCTTCGCCTTCTTTCCGGCAGGGGGTTAGGAAGCCGGTGTGTCCGTCTGTAAACGGCACCACCATAGGTCGCGATGAGCTCCGAGATGCTCGGCGTGGGATCAGGAGGCTCCGTCCTGTCAGGGAGCAGCCGGAAGCAGTGGCATGAAGACATTACTCAGGATCTCCGAAACCACCTTGTCCATAAATTATGAGTAGCTAATATCAAGACAATCTCCCGTTGGGTGAGTTGCTGCCTCTGAGGTGTGTATTGGGGGGACAGGAGGAAGCCCGGCTTCCAAAACCAGGGGGTCAGGGTTTTGTCAGGGTCTGTGAGAAGGGAAAGCAGAAGCATGAAAGATGGAGCTGCAACTGCTGGTTTGGAGCTGTTGTATTGGAAAGTCTCCCTCCGTACTCGAGCCACGTACACAAGATTTGCTTGCTGCTTTGTGTTTGGATCACTGGGGCTGGTGCTGATGTCCTGGTCTGGGAACATCCTAATCACTTTCATGCTTTGGTTTTTGTTTGTTTGGGTTTTTTTCCCCCGCCCAGAGTCCAAGCCTTATTTCCTACTCCTGACCCTGCAGCACTGAAGGATCAACGTATGGAGAATCTGGTGGCATATGCTCGGAAAGTGGAAAGGGATATGTATGAATTGGCAAACAGCAGGGTGAGATGCCATCCTCTGTCATCCAGTCATGTGTGTCCCTGCCTTGATCCCATAGTGGCTGCGGAGGAAGAGAAAGGAAAGCACAGATGAGAGTCCCAGACTGAGGAAACATGCGTTCAGAGGCTGCTGGATGGGGTCTAGGAACCAGGCAACAGCAGGCTTCTGCCTGGGTGTGCCCAGGAGTCAGGGTGGTGCTTGTTGGGGTGTGCTGTGCCTGAGACTTCTTGGGGTTACCTGAAGGCAGTGTGAAGCTCTTCACTGTGATTCTCCCAAAGAAGTGTTGGACACGAGAAGAGAAACATTTTGTGTTGGCCTAATGGTTGCCAGCAATTCCCTAAGCAGTGCCCCTTTTTGCCCTCCTGTCTGCCCAGCAGCCCCTGCAAAGGGAAAGCCACCCCCATCCAAGCCAAAATGTGTGTGTGTAAGGCTGTGCTCCAAGCTTGGATCGCTGGGACCGGTTGCCTTCACTTACTGTGTGTGTCATCTCCTTTCCTGACTTGTACTCCTCCCCAACAGGCAGAGTACTATCACTTGCTAGCGGAGAAGATTTATAAGATTCAGAAGGAGTTGGAGGAGAAACGAAGAACCAGGCTGCAGAAGCAGAACATGATCCCGAATGCTCCAGGCATGCCACAGGCTCCCATGAATCAAGGGCCCAACATGGGACAGCCGCAGCCAGGGATGTCTGCAAGTAAGAACAGTTGGGTTCCTGAATACCTGGTGCAGGGGAATCATGTACTGTCATGGTCATCATGGTGGTGACCATTTCCTTCTTTTCATTTCACAGTTACCTTTGTAAAATTAGTCTGCCAAAAGTTAAGCAGCACACATTTTGGTTTTTTTAGTTTCTTCTGTTTGCTTGTTGGTTTGCTGAGCTGTTCTACCTTACTTTACTTTTTCAAAGGACACTATCATAGAATCATAGAATCATTTGGTTGGAAAAGACCTTTATGATCATCAAGTCCAACCGTACCTATCCAGTACTAAACCATGTCCCTAAGCACCTCGTCTACACGTCTTTTAAATACCTCCAGGGATGGTGACTTGCCCACTTCCCTGGGTAGCCTGTTCCAGC